GAGATCAATTCTTTTTTCTTCCATCTAGTCAGTAATTCTTTCAGCCTCCTAGAAAGTACGTTAGTAAGGTCTTTTTTAACGATTTCATATGTATTAGTATCCCCCAGTATTGTAAGCATTTTTTGTCTATAATCTGCTTTTATCCATTGCCACCGTCACATTTCCCTTATCAGCTCTGGTGAGTATGATGTTACGATTATTGTTCAAGAAAGTTTTTGTTGATTTCCACATATCTAAGAGGTTATTTTTTAAATTATCACAACGGTTGAATCCACTTTCAATTTATTTGGTCGCCTGATCTGTTAACCTGGTGTCGATATAAATGAAGCGGAATGAGTGGGCACTCTCCTATCAAATCACCTAAGAATTTGATTGTATATGAATCAGATACATTGAGGATGGCTCGAATGTAAGTCGAAACGTCTGGTTTTTTTGTTACTTAATAAATCTTTTGCTCGCACGAATTACAGCGATATAACTCTCAGTTGCTTGTTTCTTTGTTTATTATTTAATTAATTCCCAGGCGAGTTTTAAAAATGCCATTCTGAAATTTTCACATTTTTTAGTAAATTTTCCGAGGAATCCGATAGTATTTGTAAAAAATAAATTAACTCCGGGTGTCATGGTCAAAATTAACTTTTAAGATTTAATTTGCAGAAAAAAGTATTTTTTTTTAAAGTTGAGGTTAGGAACATAATTTCATCAAAAAGCTGATATAATAACGTTTGAAATGAAAAAAAAATTGTTCTACTATAAAAAACGACGTAGATACGACGACTTGAAAATTCCTATAAAAGGCAAAATTACCATAAAACTCAAAATTTAAAATCGCTATTTCTTCGAAAATAAATTTAAAAAAAAAATCCCGATACACGTGTTCGCTTATTTTATACCTACAATTGGTAAAAAAAGTTTGAAGCGATTTAAAAATGTCGAAAAAAAAAGTGTTCGGTTAGTAAAAGAATGCCTCATATACGTAACATCTCAGAGAAATTAAAAAATATTGCAGATAAGAATAATTATAAAGCAGCATACAAGCCGATGAATACTCTGAACTCAGTGATAAAATTAGGGAAGGATAAACTTGAATGGGACATTCAGAAGTAGTTTATAGGATTAATTGTTCGGATTGTGATTCATCATACCATATGTGGGGCAAACAAAAAGGAAGTTAGGCACTCGAATAAAAGAACATAAGTCTGACATAAAAAAATCAAAAGATACTGGGTCAGTAGTGTCAGAGCACCAAATTCAATTCGGACATAATTTAAATTGGGAAAATATTCTAGTTCTTGATACAGAACCTTTCTTTCACAAAAGACTTACCTATATTGGAGATGATTTTTATTAAAAAACAGACGAATTGTATGAATAAGCATACTGACACAGAAAAATTTCCAGAATCATATTTGCCTTTGTTAAAAGTTTCTTCTCATATATAATTATTTCCCTCTCTACAGTTTACGAGTGTGAGGTCAAGATATAAGTCGCGAAGATTTAAGTTAAGACGTTAGTTCGTGCCCTCTATTTGTATGGGACAGTATGTTATCCTGAATTATCAGATATACATTGGAATTTTATTGTGTGAAATTTGTGATCCATGCATTAATGATACTAAAATTTGCTGTGAAATAATTGAACACAGGTACGTTTAAGTGTTATTAATTTCATTTATTATTATTTTTTTTTTCCGTTTTATTAATTCAAATTTGCTTTACATTAGATTTTTGAAACTTTGTGTTCGATTATTTAATGTTAAGATTGGAGGATAAAATTGACTTTTAATACGATTGACATGATTGCACAGGTACGATATTACATTGTTAATTGTTGTTCAATTTATGATATGTAAGTTTTTATGACCGATTATTTTATTTAATTTATTGGAATTTGGCAACTCTGTGCAAGACAAATATTGTGATGATGTGACTTAAGAGACAAATACATTGGTTCTGTGAAGCATGAAATCGATTATCGTATGACTACAATATTTTTGAATTAATTTCGTATAAATTGTTGCGTTGATTAGAAAGATATTGTAATTTAATAAATCAAAAATTTAACATGCTAGGTGAATTGATAGAATCGCGAATTTTAAGTTCTAGTTTTAAAAATTATTAATACTGAAGAAGGTCTAATTAATGACCGAAACGTTTATTATCAATATGTATTAAACATTAATAAAATTTAAATTTCGCTACCGTTATCTTGCGTTCGTGGTATAAGCCTTTCAAACAAAATTGTTGTGCTATTATTTTTTGGATTTTAAAGAAATTTGGATCTTTTTTTGTAAAAACTATAATTGCTTATTAGAAGTATGATTTAGGAATCCAATGGTACAATTTAACAACCCGGTCTCCAAATCGTACCAAAAGATAATTTTTTAATCTAATTTAAACAATAATTAAATGTTTATTTCCGTAAATATATTGCTATGTCTTTTTATTATTGCCAATGAACCAAAGTTTGATGTACCATCAAGGCACTAGTTTCTGATCAGTTAAGGAGCACTTCCATGTTGCCCTCAATATTTAAACGCAATAAAAGAAAAAAATACAAACTTTTTTGTTTTTAAACGATAGATCAACATACCAACTTTAAGTTGCATTTGGAAAAATGATATAATAGCCATAATTAAGTTAATACCCTGATAGCCAAGCGTGTTATAACATATTGTGCAAACTAATGCATTGCATATGTTGTTATATATTTGTTGTACATTTGCTGACATCAAAATAGGACACATTATGAATATAACAACATGACTGCTTATGTATGCAATCAGTTGACAAAATTTCTAGAGCAAACTGTGAGCAGTGGTGGTACATTATGTTGTCGATAACATGACAGCAACATGTTAGCAAGGAATAATTAAT